CCCTTCCCGGTGCCCCGACCCTGATCGGCCCCTTCCCGGTGACCCCTCCCGGTTTCTCGGTCCCTGATCGATCCCTTCTCGGTGCCCCATCCCGGTTCCCAGACCCTGATCGGCCCCGTCCCGGTGCCCAGTCCCTGATGGGCCCCTTCCCGGTGACCCCTCCAGGTTTCTCGGTCCCTGATCAACCCCTTCCTGGTGCCCGGACCCTGATCGATCCCTTCCCGGTGCCCCATCCCGGTTCCCAGACCCTGATCGGCCCCGTCCCGGTGCCCAGTCCCTGATGGGCCCCTTCCCGGTGACCCCTCCAGGTTTCTCGGTCCCTGATCAACCCCTTCCTGGTGCCCGGACCCTGATCGATCCCTTCCCGGTGCCCCATCCCGGTTCCCAGACCCTGATCGGCCCCGTCCCGGTGCCCAGTCCCTGATGGGCCCCTTCCCGGTGACCCCTCCAGGTTTCTCGGTCCCTGATCAACCCCTTCCTGGTGCCCGGACCCTGATCGATCCCTTCCCGGTGCCCCATCCCGGTTCCCAGACCCTGATCGGCCCCGTCCCGGTGCCCAGTCCCTGATGGGCCCCTTCCCGGTGACCCCTCCAGGTTTCTCGGTCCCTGATCAACCCCTTCCTGGTGCCCGGACCCTGATCGATCCCTTCCCGGTGCCCCATCCCGGTTCCCAGACCCTGATCGGCCCCGTCCCGGTGCCCAGTCCCTGATGGGCCCCTTCCCGGTGACCCCTCCAGGTTTCTCGGTCCCTGATCAACCCCTTCCTGGTGCCCGGACCCTGATCGATCCCTTCCCGGTGCCCCATCCCGGTTCCCAGACCCTGATCGGCCCCGTCCCGGTGCCCAGTCCCTGATGGGCCCCTTCCCGGTGACCCCTCCAGGTTTCTCGGTCCCTGATCAACCCCTTCCTGGTGCCCGGACCCTGATCGATCCCTTCCCGGTGCCCCATCCCGGTTCCCAGACCCTGATCGGCCCCGTCCCGGTGCCCAGTCCCTGATGGGCCCCTTCCCGGTGACCCCTCCAGGTTTCTCGGTCCCTGATCAACCCCTTCCTGGTGCCCGGACCCTGATCGATCCCTTCCCGGTGCCCCATCCCGGTTCCCAGACCCTGATCGGCCCCGTCCCGGTGCCCAGTCCCTGATGGGCCCCTTCCCGGTGACCCCTCCAGGTTTCTCGGTCCCTGATCAACCCCTTCCTGGTGCCCGGACCCTGATCGATCCCTTCCCGGTGCCCCATCCCGGTTCCCAGACCCTGATCGGCCCCGTCCCGGTGCCCAGTCCCTGATGGGCCCCTTCCCGGTGACCCCTCCAGGTTTCTCGGTCCCTGATCAACCCCTTCCTGGTGCCCGGACCCTGATCGATCCCTTCCCGGTGCCCCATCCCGGTTCCCAGACCCTGATCGGCCCCGTCCCGGTGCCCAGTCCCTGATGGGCCCCTTCCCGGTGACCCCTCCAGGTTTCTCGGTCCCTGATCAACCCCTTCCTGGTGCCCGGACCCTGATCGATCCCTTCCCGGTGCCCCATCCCGGTTCCCAGACCCTGATCGGCCCCGTCCCGGTGCCCAGTCCCTGATGGGCCCCTTCCCGGTGACCCCTCCAGGTTTCTCGGTCCCTGATCAACCCCTTCCTGGTGCCCGGACCCTGATCGATCCCTTCCCGGTGCCCCATCCCGGTTCCCAGACCCTGATCGGCCCCGTCCCGGTGCCCAGTCCCTGATGGGCCCCTTCCCGGTGACCCCTCCAGGTTTCTCGGTCCCTGATCAACCCCTTCCTGGTGCCCGGACCCTGATCGATCCCTTCCCGGTGCCCCATCCCGGTTCCCAGACCCTGATCGGCCCCGTCCCGGTGCCCAGTCCCTGATGGGCCCCTTCCCGGTGACCCCTCCAGGTTTCTCGGTCCCTGATCAACCCCTTCCTGGTGCCCGGACCCTGATCGATCCCTTCCCGGTGCCCCATCCCGGTTCCCAGACCCTGATCGGCCCCGTCCCGGTGCCCAGTCCCTGATGGGCCCCTTCCCGGTGACCCCTCCAGGTTTCTCGGTCCCTGATCAACCCCTTCCTGGTGCCCGGACCCTGATCGATCCCTTCCCGGTGCCCCATCCCGGTTCCCAGACCCTGATCGGCCCCGTCCCGGTGCCCAGTCCCTGATGGGCCCCTTCCCGGTGACCCCTCCAGGTTTCTCGGTCCCTGATCAACCCCTTCCTGGTGCCCGGACCCTGATCGATCCCTTCCCGGTGCCCCATCCCGGTTCCCAGACCCTGATCGGCCCCGTCCCGGTGCCCAGTCCCTGATGGGCCCCTTCCCGGTGACCCCTCCAGGTTTCTCGGTCCCTGATCAACCCCTTCCTGGTGCCCGGACCCTGATCGATCCCTTCCCGGTGCCCCATCCCGGTTCCCAGACCCTGATCGGCCCCGTCCCGGTGCCCAGTCCCTGATGGGCCCCTTCCCGGTGACCCCTCCAGGTTTCTCGGTCCCTGATCAACCCCTTCCTGGTGCCCGGACCCTGATCGATCCCTTCCCGGTGCCCCATCCCGGTTCCCAGACCCTGATCGGCCCCGTCCCGGTGCCCAGTCCCTGATGGGCCCCTTCCCGGTGACCCCTCCAGGTTTCTCGGTCCCTGATCAACCCCTTCCTGGTGCCCGGACCCTGATCGATCCCTTCCCGGTGCCCCATCCCGGTTCCCAGACCCTGATCGGCCCCGTCCCGGTGCCCAGTCCCTGATGGGCCCCTTCCCGGTGACCCCTCCAGGTTTCTCGGTCCCTGATCAACCCCTTCCTGGTGCCCGGACCCTGATCGATCCCTTCCCGGTGCCCCATCCCGGTTCCCAGACCCTGATCGGCCCCGTCCCGGTGCCCAGTCCCTGATGGGCCCCTTCCCGGTGACCCCTCCAGGTTTCTCGGTCCCTGATCAACCCCTTCCTGGTGCCCGGACCCTGATCGATCCCTTCCCGGTGCCCCATCCCGGTTCCCAGACCCTGATCGGCCCCGTCCCGGTGCCCAGTCCCTGATGGGCCCCTTCCCGGTGACCCCTCCAGGTTTCTCGGTCCCTGATCAACCCCTTCCTGGTGCCCGGACCCTGATCGATCCCTTCCCGGTGCCCCATCCCGGTTCCCAGACCCTGATCGGCCCCGTCCCGGTGCCCAGTCCCTGATGGGCCCCTTCCCGGTGACCCCTCCAGGTTTCTCGGTCCCTGATCAACCCCTTCCTGGTGCCCGGACCCTGATCGATCCCTTCCCGGTGCCCCATCCCGGTTCCCAGACCCTGATCGGCCCCGTCCCGGTGCCCAGTCCCTGATGGGCCCCTTCCCGGTGACCCCTCCAGGTTTCTCGGTCCCTGATCAACCCCTTCCTGGTGCCCGGACCCTGATCGATCCCTTCCCGGTGCCCCATCCCGGTTCCCAGACCCTGATCGGCCCCGTCCCGGTGCCCAGTCCCTGATGGGCCCCTTCCCGGTGACCCCTCCAGGTTTCTCGGTCCCTGATCAACCCCTTCCTGGTGCCCGGACCCTGATCGATCCCTTCCCGGTGCCCCATCCCGGTTCCCAGGTGTGCGTGTCCCCCGTCCTGGGTCCCGGGGGTGTCCCTCGTCCCAGCTCCCCATGGCAGCGGAGCAGCCTCCACCCCTGCTCCCTGGGGTGTCCCCTGTCCTGGGTCCCTGGGGTGTCTGTCGTCCCAGCTCCCCATTGCAGCGGAGCAGCCTCCACCCCTGCTCCCTGGGGTGTCCCCTGTCCTGGGTCCCTGGGGTGTCTGTCGTCCCAGCTCCCCATTGCAGCGGAGCAGCCTCCACCCCTGCTCCCTGGGGTGTCCCCTGTCCTGGGTCCCTGGGGTGTCTGTCGTCCCAGCTCCCCATTGCAGCGGAGCAGCCTCCACCCCTGCTCCCTGGGGTGTCCCCTGTCCTGGGTCCCTGGGGTGTCTGTCGTCCCAGCTCCCCATTGCAGCGGAGCAGCCTCCACCCCTGCTCCCTGGGGTGTCCCCTGTCCTGGGTCCCTGGGGTGTCTGTCGTCCCAGCTCCCCATTGCAGCGGAGCAGCCTCCACCCCTGCTCCCTGGGGTGTCCCCTGTCCTGGGTCCCTGGGGTGTCTGTCGTCCCAGCTCCCCATTGCAGCGGAGCAGCCTCCACCCCTGCTCCCTGGGGTGTCCCCTGTCCTGGGTCCCTGGGGTGTCTGTCGTCCCAGCTCCCCATTGCAGCGGAGCAGCCTCCACCCCTGCTCCCTGGGGTGTCCCCTGTCCTGGGTCCCTGGGGTGTCTGTCGTCCCAGCTCCCCATTGCAGCGGAGCAGCCTCCACCCCTGCTCCCTGGGGTGTCCCCTGTCCTGGGTCCCTGGGGTGTCTGTCGTCCCAGCTCCCCATTGCAGCGGAGCAGCCTCCACCCCTGCTCCCTGGAGCATCCCCTGTCCTGGGTCCCTGGGGTGTCCCTCGTCCTGGGTCCCTGGGGTGTCCCTCGTCCTGGGTCCCTGGGGTGTCCCTCGTCCTGGGTCCCTGGGGTGTCCCTCGTCCTGGGTCCCTGGGGTGTCCCTCGTCCTGGGTCCCTGGGGTGTCCCTCGTCCTGGGTCCCTGGGGTGTCCCTCGTCCTGGGTCCCTGGGGTGTCCCTCGTCCTGGGTCCCTGGGGTGTCCCTCGTCCTGGGTCCCTGGGGTGTCCCTCGTCCTGGGTCCCTGGGGTGTCCCTCGTCCCAGCTCCCCATTGCACCGGAGCATCCCCCACCCCTGCTCCCTGGGGTGTCCCCTGTCCTGGGTCCCTGGGCTGTCCCTGTCCCTGATCCCCAAGGATGTCCCCCATCCTGGCTCCCCAAGTTGTCCCCCGTCCCAGCTCCCTGCGGTGTCCCCCATCCCAGCTCCTCGAGTTGTCCCCCGTCCCAGCTCCCCATTGCCCCAGAGCAGCCCCCACCCCAGCTCTCTGGGGTGTCCCCTGTCCTGGATCCCTGGGGTGTCCCCTGTCCCAGCTCCCCAGGGCATCCTCCTTGCACCAGAGCATGCCCCATCTCTGCACCCTGCAGCGTCCCCCATCCCAGCTCCCCATTGCACTGGAGCATCCCTCACCCCTGCACCCTGCAGCATCCCCCACTCCGGCTCCCCGCAGTGTCCCCAGTCCTGGATCCCTGGGGTGTCCCTAGGGCATCCCCCATTGCGCCAGAGCATCCCCCATTCCAGCTCCCTGGGCTGTCCCTGTCCCTGATCCTCCACGGTGTCCCCCGTCC